TTCTCGCAGTGATTGAGTTCTGGATCTCTCTATCAATGCCTTAATAGATGACAGTGGTAGGGAGAGAGACTAAATTAAGCAGCACGTTGTTTCTCTGTTTCTAGAGATGGAAGATAGTAGCTTGGGCCGATAATTTCCTTAGTAAAGATGGGGCGCTTGTAGAGCTGACTCGGATCCAAGACAACAACTCAAACCAGTTACTAAACAGATGTAACGACGAGCCAAATCTAGAAATAACCAGTCCTTCGTACCGATCAGTCGTCTCTAAGCCGGTTTCAGATATCAAACTTGATAGAAGGAAAAGCTTCTTCTCACAAAGAATACAACAAGTGTTTGCTTGTTTCTTGTATTCATAGATGAAATCGATAAAGGGAGAAAACAGAGTAAGAGAGAAAACTGATTATCAGAAATAGATTCTGATAAAACTGTTTTGAAAGAGAATCTGAAACACACACGCACAACTTTTGTTTCTTTATTGATAAGAAAAACAGTTAATTGTTACAATACAAAGACAACGTCTTATATAGACGTGAAACTGGCTCATCGAAACAACACTAACAATAAGAGTTGTAACTCTTCAACATAAAGAAAACTACTTTTGATAAGACACGACTCTAGATAAGATAGGTTACGACTCTTGACTCTAACTCAATTACAACTAACAAAACTGTGAAGCTTCCTTATCTTCTGCTCGTCTTGTCCTTTCCAAAAGCTTAACAATCATAAAATTCAGCATCAATGTGTTAGGGTTCCAACTTCCAGTACATGTGCTAGAGAAATTGAAAGACAAGACTGGAACGAGAAACGGATAAAGGAAGAGCGGGAAGAGGTGACTGTGCAGATTGAAGATGGAGTCTTCAGCCTGTTGATGAAAGAAACTTTAGATGCGATCTGCCAATGCTGATTCCAGTCACATGAACAAAGCAAGAAGCAGAATCAATGGTTAAATTCTCCTCGGCAGATGAATCGAACCAATGGTCAAAAAAGCTGCACGAAGGAGACAAATGTAGCTATCAAACTCATTCAGGTATCATTAGTTTAAGCTTATAAATTAGCAGGCAGAAACAGTTTTGATTAGGGCTGGATAGACTTAAGCCCACTCTTCTTGCTCTACTTTCCGTAAGAATAAAGCAAAGGAATAATACATTGTACATTAAGCAGTGTACATTCATGTCTTTTCATAGAGATCAGTTGCTACTCTACAGCAGCATCTAAATCATAAACGAGTTTAAAAATGAACAAAATTGATTGCAAGATAATCTGACTAATTTACCCATATATCAAACAAGAGAGTTACCAAAAGAAATAGGAACACACAAGTAAATCAATAAACTAAAGGGGGCTAGCCGTTAACAAGACGGGATACGATTTCGTCACTCTCACCAAACCAGGAGTCCATTATTTCATTAGCTCGAAGACGGGTCATTGTGCGGCTGGGCTCAAGCTTCGAGTCCTGGTGCAACGTCCTCTCACCATTGTTCCCAATGAGATGGAGTTGTCTTCTAGCCTATGAACCGCCTCAACAGATGGCTACGCACCTTCAGACTCCAACCCCATTATTAATCATTCGTTTCTATTTACTTCTTGTGTTTTAGCACTACTGATGTAGAGTCTCAGACACAATTCGTCATATATCTTTGTAAGTTTCGGTTTAGTTCTTCCAATATTTGTCTCGACTTCTTCTTGTAACACAGATCAATCAAGTATGTTTGAAGTTCTTCTTGTTCCTCATCAATATATTGAATATTCTTCTTGTTTCTTCTTTTGGATAAAAGAATTAGATAATCAAACTCACTGTTGTGTATGCAACTCCAAAAGAAGAACAAATCTGCAAACACAGATTAGAATTTTTCTTTTTTTTTTCTTCAAATTCTCAGGATGTTATTCATATTACAGACATAATCAAACTTATCTTAGATTCGATAACAAAAACAGAGCAAAACAAAACAAGCATTCTGATGAGTTTTTTTTAGGACTCTTTCTCATAGGCTCTTACTGTGAGTCTTGAGGATTGAACTTGACTGTTTCACGATATATAAGCTCCTTAATGTTCTCTTCTGTCAAAGAAGGTTGTTCGAAATCGAAATTAAACGGCCTCACACACACCGGTTCTTCGTTTATATCGTGCAGCGGAGCCAAATATGGGTGGCACAACGCTTCATCAACTACACAAAAGAAATACTTGTTTAGAAAAAAAAACCGAAATGATAAAACAGAGAAGAAGCATGTATACACGAAACTCACCTGTAATGCGTCTGCTTGGATCAAAGACGAGCATTTTCTCCAGCAAATCGACCGCACCAGCTGACATGTTTGGGAATCTAGCAGCAAAGTTCTGTCTCGGGTACTGCGGAAGCTGTCTAACGTATCTCCTTGCGTTGTCACTCCTTAAGAATCCCAAGCTTGAATCATCAGGTGATCCTATAAGCTGCTTTCAGAGATTCATCAGCAAATGGCGATGATACCAAAGAAAACACTAAGTAATGATTCTATGGATGAAACAAATTAGATTATAGATTACCTCAGTGATAAGTCTAAGCTGATGAACATAGTCTTTACCAGGAAACAACGGCTCTCTTGTCATTGTTTCACCGAGTATACAACCGACTGACCAAATATCAATTGCTGCTGTGTACTCTGAGCAGTTAAGGAGCAACTCTGGAGCTCGGTACCAACGTGTGACAACATATTCAGTCATGAAGTCTGTCTCGGATTTGGTCCTCGCAAGCCCGAAATCCCCAAGCTTTAGATCACAGTTTGCATTCAGAAGCAAATTGCTGGGTTTTAGGTCTCGGTGTAATACATTCGCTGAATGAACGTACTTGAGCCCACGCAACAACTGATACAAGAAGAACTGCAGAAAAAAATAAACTCATTGAAACTAATGACTAAAGAACGAACTCAATCTCTGTAATCCCAAACAAAAAACGGAGAAGAAACATAAAAGTGGCTGTTCTAGAACATATCTAACTTTTTAGTCTCAAGCAATACTGAATCTAACAGTTGTTTTGGTCAACCTTAATTCCTGAAGTAGCCTAACACAACAACAGGTATGGATTGCTCTTGCTTCCTGAACCAAGTAACTTCTAAAATAGAGACAGAAGACTAATCTGCAACATATAAGCATCATGGAGATTGATGCATACCCGACAATGATCATCAGTTAACGGTTGGTTTGAGCGTATAATTTGGTGGAGATCAGTGTCCATCAGCTCATAAACAATGTAAACATCATTGAAGTTCTCTCTCTGCGGTGGTCTTATTATATCCTTTACAGCAATAACCTGCGAAACCAAGATCATAAACAATTATAAAAATTGACAAGAAATGAAATTGCAGATAAGGAAAAAAAATGAGGAAAACCCAGAGATCGTTTGAGTTCGTACATTTTCATGATCCATATGCTTGAGAAGCTTAATCTCTCTCAAAGTCCTTTTGGCGTCGATAATGTTGTCAAAAGCATTACCGATCTTCTTGATAGCTACTTCCTCTCCAGTCTCTGAGTTCGTAGCAGCACTGATGAAAGACGAACACACATAAAAGAAGAGATTAGAAGATGAGAAATGGTGCTTCCAAGTGAGCATGGTGCGCTGTGATAAGTGAGTTCCGGAAAACCCAAATTAACAGCTTCAAGAGACTGAAGGGAAAATTCGAGTTAGATTAAGAAAAATCAAATTCATATTCCATCAAATTATGAAGAACATCGACATATACAAGAAACCCAAATGCTCAAAACCGACCCAAAAGCTCAAAAACCGACCCAAAAGCTCAAAAACTGAGTAAAAATCATAAATTTCTACGCACAAATTCGGAGGTAAATCGGGGAGATTCGTCGAGAACAGAGCAATCCAAATTAAGAAAATCTCATAAAAACCCTATGGAAAATCAAACAAAAGCATCGGATTTTTCAAATCCGAGAAAACAAAAAAAACTCACCAGACGATGCCATAAGCGCCTCTACCGATTGGACGAAGAGGAGGAACATACTTTCTAGAAACTTCGAAGAGGTTTCCATAGACATTATACTGAACATAGCGACCACCATGAGTAGGCAATCCTTTGGTGCTTTGATCTCCAGAACCACCGAAACAAGACTCTGCCGACATATCTTAACCAGTAAACCCTACAAAAATCGGACTGAATCGAACGAAAGAAAAAGCGAAGAACCCAAGACGCACGCACTTAGAAGAAATTGAGGGACGAGAGAAAGAGAGAGGCTAAAAAGGGAAGAAAATGGAGGAAATTGAGGAGGAGATGTGTGCTTAAGGAGGGTGTTGACTTGACATTTCTCCAAATACGTGTTATAAAGTTTGGACCTTTTGTTTTTTGAACGGCGAAAGGAGAAGGCTCCTCTCTCGGGCGACCCGTGAACCTAAACGGGTTTTCGTCTTCTTCTTCGTTTTTTCTTTTCAAGTCAATTCCAACTTGTCTTAACTATTTTTTTACATACAGTATATATGTGGATTAGAATTATAGCCTATGATTACTCTAAATATCCTAGTGAATGTTTATAAGAACTGAAGAAGTAAATGACGTCGTGAGGGAAAGTTCGTGATATCATAATATAATATGAATGCTAGAATAACTTTTCTCCAATCAATTTGAGTACGACTTGGTATTTAAGGCATACAAGTCAATGTCGGTTTCCTAGTCAATGTCTGCCAAACTTTTTGACAATACAAACTAGTGACATTTGATTCCGGAATGATTCGTGGAAAGAAAAAAAAAACTAGTGAATATAATATGACATTCAATTTCGTTAAACTTAACTTGAAAACAAAAAACAAAAAAAAAAATGTGCAGCAAAAATTTAGCTAATTTATTCATGAACACTATTGGAACAAGTTTTCTAACATTTTGGTCCATTGGTTATCGATAGCTTAACCTGATCTTCTTTACACTTGTTCTGAGGGTGTTCTGATTGTGAATGTTTCTCTCTATTCTTTTTTTTTTTGATACGCATTCTGATTGTGAATTTTAAAGTATCTAATTTCATTTCGTTCTTGAAATCTCTATTTTATCTGCATTGTTATGGTTACTGAACGACCATGAACGGAAACATCATAATTACATGTTCTACTCACAAACAAGTCTCTTAACATTTTTAATCATCGGCAATGTCGCTCCCAACTCTTCAGCGAATTTCGTCCAGAGGGTCTCGTTCAATGCGTCTCGAGCAGAGATCACTATCTTCAACAAGCGACGTGTTTCATTGGAGACAAGATCAATCCTTTCCGAGAGTTCTATCACCGACTTCTTCAATAGCTCCACCAATAAATTAGGAACTGACCCTTCTTGGGCCACCGCTGTGTAAAGCTTCTTCACACCGGATTCAACAGCCTCAAGATCCTTAATAACCGTGAATTTGTCTGATAAAAATGTGTTTTTGATCTCCGGGTTAATCGAGTTCTGCAATTCCATGAAAGCTTGTGCCCATGGAAGCTCCTCCTCCATGTCCTTTGGAATGGTTAGATAGAAGAGATTCTTGCAAGAACCCGAAAACGCAGCAGCAAACACGCCAAATATGTATAAAGTCTTGACCTTAACACCGTATAGAGCTCGCAGGAGAACTTTTTCTTTTGCAGATTGTTTCTTCTTCGCCTTCTCAGAGAGACGATGATGATGATTCATCGATTCAACAAGGCTACTCATAACCGCGCCGCAGTTTTCGATTCTCGGGTTCTTGGAAGCCATGAGCTGATTCCAACTGTCGAGATGTGAGAATTCCTCGGGAACATAGTTTGTCTCCAGCTTACTAAAAGCAAACTTTAGTAATAGATTGCCATGGTTAAGACGGTCAAGCTCTGAGGTGAAGGCGTTGCAGAGCTCAAGCAGCTTCAAGCTAATGTCGGAGTACATATAAATCAGATTTTCCTCCAAGTCCGATACAGGATGCTCTAGATCGGTCACGAGTGTCCTGATACTCTTGTGTGTCCCGCAAAGAGACTCCATGGCTTGATTCATCCAAGAAACAGTAATGATATCATTCTCATCCTTTGGTATAAGTTCTCTAATCGACACCGTCAAATCTGTCTCGAAATTGTTCAATATTGAGAGAAGCTTCGGCGATAAAGTTGCATTGTTGTTGTTGTTCTTCGGAAACAGAATCTTGAATGGGTTTCCACAGCGGAAGAAGACGCGTTTGTTCACTTGTGTAGGGCTCATACTAACTGGAAACACAGAAAGAAGAGACAAAGTTAGTAAATATGAAACAATGAACAAACCAATATCAATCAATCACGGTTATGAATGAATGTAAATTAACATTTCTTATAGATTTTCCGACAGATGTAGAAGAAGAACAAACATGTAATAGAGACCCCAAAGTCGTAGCGAAACAAACAAAAATCGAAGCTTTCTGGAATCCCTCTGAAGGAAAAACGTTCAGATCAATAGACCTCAAGAATTCAGAGACAAAAATAACATTACTTTCAGTAAAGCAGACACACACACAAAAAAACCCTAATTTCAGAGATTCTACACACCAAATGGACATTTAAAGATACCAAACTCGCCAAAGTTTAACACAAGATAGCCAGCAAATCGATGAGAACATCACCAACGAAAACTAACCTAGAGAAAGAGATTCTTCGGGAATGTTATCGATTACTTCAAATTGGCCTCAAAGGACTTCGTAATCAGAAGAAACGAAGGCGAGAAAGAACAAAAAAGTGAAGTTAAATTCACCAAACACTTTGCAGTGAAAAACCCAAAAGACAATCAAAGAAAGTATAAATAGGGAGATGGGTGAGAGTGTATTCATACCGAGTAGTAATTAGGGATTCGAAATTTCGAGGAAACGCAAAACTTGAAACGCGTTCTTATAGGAGGAGGAATCAAACAAACTTGCCGTGTTCTTCTTCAGATAAACGCAAAATACACAAAAAAGGAAATACGGGACTCTCACGTTGGTTTTGCTAGTTGTAAAGAGAGTGTGGTTAGTTTCAGCTACGCGGCAGCGAAGAAGACTAATGGACACGTGTACGGCTGTAATGTCTCAGCTATTGCACACAAGCGTTGTCAGCTGACTTTACTATGCAGAAAAAGAAAAAAGAAAAAGTGTAAGAATAACCGGCGGATTTCTCTCAATCCAACGGCTAGAAAGTTCTAGTTTCCTCGCAAAAACAATTAATTTATTTCGGGGTATATCCGTCAATTCGTCAACGCAAATCTTCAAGCCCAAATTCGCTGGACTGCTATTAAACTAGGAAGAATAAACTATTCATTATTTCGGATATCCGTCAATTCGTCAACGCAAATCTTCAAGCCCAAATTCGCTGGACTGCGTTAAAAATCTGCAATATTTGGTTTTGTAGAACTCGACAATTATAAAAAAAAACAAATTTGATATGTAGCAAACATATGAATAATTAGGAAAAAAAAACGGTAAAACTCTCGACGAGGTTTCTAGTTGGCAAAGGTGAGGGTTTTTTTCCCATTTTTCCTAAATGTAAATATAAAGTATAAACCAGTCATATTAGCACCAAAAGAAAAGGTATAAACCCGTCATAGTAGTTAAACAAAAAAAAAAAAAACGTCAAGCATCTCAATTCGAAGTGGATCAGTTGAGCAACTGTGGCCTCATACCAAAGGATGAGAGCTATGATTTATCATTTACGCAATAATAAAACAGATGGGTCCGTTTTGGGGTGGGCACAAAACAGTGAAAGCGACATTGATGTTGATCCATCGATCGATATGTGGATATGTCTATGTGTGATATTACTCCGATCATCTTATGTTGAAAATAACAGCTAGGTTGGTCCACAGTCCACATATCGCATATATAGCCAAACCATAATTATAATGCGTTGACATATTCATATTTATTAACCAAAAATTCTTCAACAAAAATAATTAAAGAAGTGGAAACTCCTTTAATGGTTAAAAGTTTAAACGCTTTACGCTGCTCGGTTTTTACTTTTTAGAGAATGCGGTCATATTAATGGATGCAAAATTTATCAGATATTTAAAAATGTTGCATGTAAAGATGTTGAAAAACTATCTATCAAGAAAGTAGTGCACAAATGTTGCTTGTGGTAGACGGTAGATCTATATATTACAAGGAAAAATTGCACCGTATACTGTAGTTGTTATTCGAGATTTTGTTTATCATAATCATATATGCTGTAGATAGTTGAAACTCGAAATATCGATTTCTCGATGGATTGATTATCATTCATCATTTTATGATAATTTTCTGAAGATGATGTAACAAACGACTATAAAATAAAATAGTTAAAAGCTAGCTCTCTATTTGTTTATAAGTTTGCGATGTTTAGACAAAAAAAATATATATACAGAGAAAATTATTAATTAGACATGGAGGATAAGCCTAATTAAAAAAGAATAAAAAATAATTAAGTCACACATAATAATTGATTTTAACCAAAAAACAGAAAACAAATTGAAAAAATAATGGCCCCGGAAGTGAGTCTCTCGTTCGTACATCTTTATACCATTATCTTGGGTCTCTTGAACTGTCACTTTCGGTTATCTCAGCCACAGTCGCACCCGCTGAAACCGCAGTCTGTCTTTGGTTAAAATCGCGGCTTGCATGCTCCCTCGTAGCTCGTCGTTCCTACGAAATATATATTCCATTAGCAAATAAACAATCGATTTAAATCACTTCAAAACGGTTTATTGTGATCATAATACTTACGTCGCGATAGAACAAGTCTTCAGCTTCAAGCATGTGTATGATATGACCCATTTTAGGTCTCTTATTTGCATCCGGATCCACACACCGTAACGCAACTAGCAACACGCGTTTAAGAGCCTTTGATGATGGTGGCTCTGGTATTTTTGGATCGATCACTTCCTCTGACCTTCGGTTTCCAACCATAGATTTTAGCCACTCAACCAAATTCACCTAACAAAACGAGACAATCAAGTCCCTGACAAAAGACAGAGAAAAAAAACTTAAAACGATAGATGCAAGCCGGGCCATTTACCTCTCCTTGAGGTCGACTATAATCAACAGGGTTTCTCCCAGTAATCAACTCCATAATCAATATCCCGAAACTATATATATCGCTTTTTTCATTCAGCATTCCGGTGCAAGCATATTCAGGCGCGACATAACTACATATAACAAAACCAGTCACCAAAAGCTTACATGGTTTTCAAGAATTTGAAATCCTAATTAAGATTATCCAACTACTGCATACTAGTAAAAACTTACCCGAAAGTTCCCATTACACGGGTTGTCACGTAACTGCTCTCGGAGAACAACAACTTAGCGAGTCCAAAATCTGATACCTTAGCATTCCATTGACGATCAAGCAAAGATATTGCTGGATTTTATGTCCCGATGAACCACTTTCGGTTCAAGACCCTCGTGTAGATACGCCAATCTGCGGAAAATAACAACAAATTAATAGATTAAATATACAAGAAGTAGATGAATTCACAAATGCAATTTATCAATCGAGTCTCGGAAGAGTGTGTGTACCCTTTTGCCATGCCGAGTATTATGTTCGTACGGATATCCCAAGTTAGGGGACTTTTGTCACCGACATCACCATGAATCCATTGCTCTAAGTTGCCATTATCGACGTAGTCATACACTAGCATCCTAATTTCTCATGAGGAAGTCCAAAGACATTAGTAATCACAAACACGTACCATTACCAAGTGAAAAGTCTCCAAATCAAGCAATGCAGGTTTCTTTTCTACCTGTATGCGCCTTCGACGCAGTACCCTAAAAGCCTAACGAGGTTCTTATGCCTTACACGCCCGATCGCTTCCACTTCCACTCTAAACTCTTTCTCGGCTTGACCCCTTGAGAATAAATTAGAGACCAAATTAATGATCAGTAAACCCATCAAATCACAAGGGTCCCATTTCGACACCACGATCTACTTTAATTCAGTAAGAAACAACAAACAACTTCTAGTTTCAGGTCCCAGGACCACATTTATCACTAAACAAGAAATTCTCATACTACTCATAAAACAAATAAAATCCAGAATTCATCCAAGGACAAAGAACAGTAAATCATTCCTATTCCTAACTCCAAAGGCCTTACCTTTAATGAAAAGATAGCAAACGAATGGTATAATCAGACACAATCTTCTAATCCGAAAGTTTACATCAAACGCAATTGATATTTCCAAAAATCCTAATTCAACAAGGAGTAATGGATACAGTTTCATAAACAGAATTTTCCCGAATTGTAAAATTTAGAAAAGGAAAAAAAAAATGTCAGAACTTTTGCAAGTACCTGTTATTAAGCAGATTCTTGACAGCGACTTTAGTTCCATCGGTTAAAATGCCACGATAGACAATCCCATAACCTCCTTCTCCGATCACATTCTCTTCACACAATCCATTCGTCGCCGCTTCGAGCTCTCTCAGAGTATACCATCTTCCCCACCCAAGATGCGAAACCTCCGGTCCAACGCAACCATTCCCTGAGAACGACGCCGTTTCACTAGCACTCACTGTTCCTCTGCTTTCACCACTCGAGACTCGATCCGAGAACACCACACGGTGCTCGATCTTCCCGATATCGACTTGGATCTCCGCCGCCACAGGCTGCGTCTGATGGTAATGGTCCGCCGCCGGAGGACGAACGATCTCCTGAATCTCTTTAGAAATAGGCGGCGTTGCTACGGCGGCTGATGCGAAATCGGCGTGACGCGGCCTGCGGTTTCTCCGGCGAGAGGTGAGACAAAGGGAGAGAAAGAAGAGTGCGATGACTATAAGAGATCCTAGCAAAATTCCGATGACGACCCAAAGCTTGAGACCAAAGATCGATGTTGGTTTCGATAGCTCTGAATTGATGGAATCAGGATTGAAAATAGAAATCGTCATTTTATGGATTTGATTAGTAGTAACCCAAGAACGATCCGGTTTTGGGTTTTCGATTCTTTCGCATTTCTTGCCGGAAAAGAATAAGCTTTCCGGCGAACAGATGGATAAGTCAGTTAATCACCGTTGCATGTGGCTTTAGCAAAATGACGAAAACAGAGCGAGAGAAGAATCGAGCAGAACCGAAAACAATGGAATTGAGTAAAAACAAAGAGACGAATAAACAAATCCAATCGAATAATTATTAAATTAAATAGATAAAATTTTCAAACAAAAAAATAAATGCAAGGAATTTTAAAGAAAGGCTCTCAGTGTGTGTTTGAGTGAGCTGTCTGATCTCTCTCTCTCCGTGTATCTATCAGGCATGTAGTGACGGTAAGAGGGATTGGATGTCGTGTAAAATAACGATTTTAGCTTTCTATTGCTATACGTAATATTGTGGGACCTACGTACTCTTAAGGGCGTTCTGTGTAATTAAAACAAACGACGAGGTGACGGAGAGATAACGGTTGAGTGATTTATACAGTAAGCATCGGTGCACCTATGCTCTCATATGCCGTCGATTTTTTGCCCTTTTTGTGTGATTTTTCTTTTTCGACACTATAACAAATTTATATCCGAATTTTCTTATTTTTTCATTTTTGACTAATTTATTATAGTAGTATTAATTTATGTCATCAAATCATATTTAAAAAAACAAATTATGAATGTGAGTCAATAACCTATTAAACTTAATTTAAGGAAGCTAGATTTTTAGTACTAGTATTTAAGGGTATTAATACTGAAGTAGTTTCTTGAGGAAAGAAATCACTTTTATCATACCGAAGAGACTGGAGACTGCATTAATAACATTCGTCTGTTAATGTATTATTCCGAATTGGACTTTTCCTATTAAAGGCCACATATCTTTTTAGGTTATATGTTTGTTAATATGTATATGCGTCTAGATAAGAAAGAGAGGCTAGCTGACAGAGATGAATGGCCAGATCAGCATTCCATTTGACAAAAAAAAAACAGAGAAGAAAATTATTCTTTTCTGCGTGATAAAATAGGTGATTTACTAATTAGGTGGATCAAAGGGGAATACTTTACTCAAT